ATATATATATATATATATATATATATATATATATATATATATATATATATATATATATATATATGGTGTTTTGATGACCATTCCAGATTTGTTGACAGTTTTTCAAAAAATAATTTTAATTTTTTTTCCTAATATTATTAGTTTAGTTTTTTTTAAAACGAAAAATCTACTCTACTCCTAAATTACTCATAATTCCACCTAGGTCTCCAAATAGACTTGAACCCTCAAACTTTAGGTTGGAGGGCAACACCCGGTACCGATGGGCTAGAAACCTTTGGTTATTAGTTTAGTTAATAAACCAAAAAAAATTTATATAGATATTTCATTTAAGAAAATAACAAAAACTCATTGCAATTTAACGGTCGTAATTTGGACCAAAGAAATGGAAAGAATTAATGTTAAAAAGGAAAAAAGATAAAACCATTCCGATGTCTGAAAAAAAATCCTGGACAGGGATATCATTGATAATCAGAAGCAAAAATGGCGACAAAGCTTCTTCATCCTCAAACCCCAACTTCCCACGTGCTTCCTTTTTCGATACCATCTCTACCAAAGATGTCCAGAAGTCACACTCAAAGGCCGCCTTCATTCAATAACTCAATCCAATTTTTCCTACCAAAATCCAATTTCGCCATTAAAGTTGCAGAACCAAGCTCTAACATAGTAGGCGCCAATGAAGACGAGGATATAGCAACTGAAGAATCTCCGGTAGATTATTCAACAATCACTCGACTCAAAACAGACATTAATAAAGCTCTGGAAGGTGAGCAAAAATATAATTTGATTCGTAGACAATTAGGAATCGTTATTAGGGCTTTTTTTGTTTCGTTTCTGAATTCGTTTAATAGGATACAATCGAGGCATTTTTGGAATGCCAAGTGAGAAGAAATCGGAAATTGAAGATATGGTGAAGTTGCTTGAGTCTCTGAATCCAAATCCACACCCAACTCTCGATCTTGATAAGGTTAGAACATTCAACTTCACTCCCACCATTGTTTTTTGTTGAATTTTTTTATAATAAAATGTGTGCAAAATTGGTAGTTGGGTGGATGCTGGAAGCTAATATACAGTACAATAACCATCCTTGGATCGAGAAGAACGAAATTGGGATTGAGAGATTTTATCAGTTTGGGAGATTTCTTGCAGATTATTGATATTGTTAAGGTACTTCCTGTGATCTTACTCCCCACAACCACTCATCTCTTTAGTTTATCCATTTTGGATTTTTTTAATTTTAATTCCATTTTTTGGTGGATATTCCATTTTTCCATGGTTTTTACTTTTTATATTAGCAATGACTTGAAAGTAGTTTATCAAATGTATCAAATATTCGGTTATGTGTGACGGAGTTCCTTGGTTCTTTCCAAATTTTGAATTCTCTATTGAACTTGATTTGTAAATTTTGACAACATATTAGATATGAAATACAAAGTAAAGAATAAAAAATCAAAATAACTAAAAAGATAAGCAGTAAAAATTAATAATTCACTTAAATTAATAATAGTTTAATTTTTGTTTTTGTTTTGTTTGCATGCTTTAATTTATAAAAGGAAGTTCCGAAGTTAAATTAGTATATAGTTTTTTGATTTTTTTAATGCAAAAAAGTATATATAAAACATATTCCTTAAATTTTGAAAAAGTGTAAACAGGAAAAGTCATAATTATATATACTATTTAGTGACTTAAATTAATTTCAAATATATTGATATAAAAAAAATATAAAATATTGAAGGTTAGTTAAAATTTTTTGTTTTTTAAGTTGGTACTATGACACAAAAAAGCTTATTGAAAAAAACTTATTGTTACGGATGCTCATAATAAATTATAAGTTTAATGTATATAAGTTATTAATTAATAGATTATAATATTAATAAGTTATACTAACATATATAGATATTATTATATATTAAACTAAAAAGTTTTACTTTATAAAAAAAATGTCCAACCAAACAAAACCCAACTTTTTTTGTCTTAATAAATATAATATATGATACGTTATTACATTCCATATAGTTATATGAAATACAAAATTAATTAATTAAAAACAAACCGAAAACAAACATAAACTAAACTGTAATCACACTCCATACAACTTCGACATTAGAAAACGTTTAATGTCTTCATCTTCGGGCGACAAATGCTTCTTTGATAACAATATATTCAAATGCACATATTGCGTCTTCTTTATCTCCCATTGTTCCCTTCTTTTCTCCCTTTGTTGATACAAATCGACTCTTTTTCTCATGACCTCAAGTTTACTCTCTCCAACAAGTCTTTATATAATTTACAGCTTTCAGCTCGTAAAAATTAATAAACCAACATATTACAAGATGACATAATAATTTTTTTCTTTGAGTTCTTTAAGCCTAAGAGAGAAACTATTTATTGATTCTAACATATTATCATTCGTGACAAACATGTTTCTGTTTATCTACGTCCTTCAGATTTTGTCATTTATTTTCTATTAAAATAATTTTAATATTTCACAGGTAATAGAAGTTGTTTCTTAAATATTAAAAAATTTACGATATATATATAACTTTATATAAAATATCTCAAAAGAGTAAATTGCAAAAAAGGTCTCTATGGTACTTTTCTTTTGTTTGGGTCCACAAACATTTCTTTTTGCAAAAAATGATTCTCGTAACAGAGCATTGGACCCGCCACCATATGTAATGACTATTTTGCCCCTTAGATTTCATTTTTACAATTATTTATCATTTATTTTAGTTTACATGCTATTATTAAAATTTTGAAAGGGCCCCATACCATTTTACACTGTGAACGTTTTTTACAATAAAAAAAAAAAAAAAAAATCAATTTTGGATCCAAAGCAAAGAAAAATACATAATACCATTTTTACAATTTACATTAAAATTTATAATAAAAAGATTGTCGTATACTTAGTGGATGGAGTCATCACTCATCACTAGCTAAAAGAATAATATGAAATGACAAAATTCCCATTTCCATGGCTTTAAATTTGTTATTGAATAATTTCTTAATTATCACATGTTCTCAAAGATATTAACATTTCTTTTAATGGTAAAAATGGAGGGGAAAGCAGTCAATGTGATCATGTTCAATGTGAGAGGTCTGAATCTCTTCAGTGGGAAGCTTATAATCGAGGCCTCCTTCAAGATTTCTACCAATTCAGTTAAGCCATGAACCAAATTTAAAATATATTTCTTTAAAAAGTCAAATGAATTTTTTGTATTTAAAATAGATTAATTATGTGTTATTAGTATATTACTTGGGTTACTAATTTCTCATGATTATTTCAGAGGGTAGACATAAGTTACAACACCTCAACTATTATCCCTGACCAGGTATTCCGTTTTTTCATATTAATTTCGGGTTTAAAAACATAATTCCATTTGGAAATACAAAAAACTAATGATTCATTTCCATCACCATAATTACAAAAATATCCTTATTTTATTTATTTACTTGTTTAATATATCATTTTTGTATAAACAGTTGATGAACATGTTTCGGAAAAACTATGACATTCTTCTTGGGATTTTTAACCCTGATGGTTGGTTGGAAATAACGTATCCTTTTAAACCTCCTTTTTTGGGGTGAAATATATAAAAATGTTAAATACAAAAAGTAGCGACGTACTTTCACTGATTTGTTTGTTATAAAATTCTACTTTTGTTTTTTTGTTATTACAACATTATATTTGGAAAAATCCACCCAGTTAAAGTAATATCATAAAAATGCAAAAATCACTCCTATAAAACTACAACACAACACCAATTTTGATGTTATTAACAGTATATGAGTATAACACCAAATTTGGTGTTAAAGTTTTATGTATCATTTCTCTTTCTAAAAAAAAGGTTTTATGTATCATTTGTAGTCCTTTAAGTTTGAGTTTATATACTTCATGTTAATATAAGTTACATTTTAAATATACTAACTGTTTCGTAAAATGTTTAATTATGTAATACTTGTGATTTATTTATTCAATAAAATGTTTGTTTTATTAATATAACAACTAGTATTTGTTTAATAATATAATTTCTAAAGTTATTAATATAACAACTAGTATTTTTTTAATAATATAATTCCTAAAGTTATTGTAACAAAAAATGTCCGACAAATTTGTTAAACATAATAAATAGAAGTTTTTTTTTTGAAAATCTAAATAAGTTAGAAAAAAGGGAATATACTTGCAATATTTTTTTTGGTGCAAAAAAAAGTAGTTAGGTAGATTTTTCAAAGTATGATATCTTAATAAGAAATACTTAAAGTACATTGCTATAATTGGGTAAATTTAAAGCTCAAATTCTTAATAGAAAAAAAATTGAAAGTACAATATTGTAATGGAAAGATGTGAAAGTACAATGTTATAATATATAAATAAATGAAATGTATATTGCTAATGCTATTATTTAGTCCTATTTAAAAAGAGGAGTTTGCCATTGTTAAAGCCTTGATTTCATGGTAAAAGATACGTGGATGACACCCTAAGAATAGGGAGGGATGACAAAGGCAACATCTTCATATTGGAGAGATCAAAGGAAACTAATCTTTAAGTCTTGGTTTCATATTCCTGTTAAGAAAATTCACATTTTTGGCAAATATGTTGTTATTTTTTTATTTTTATTTAAAGAAACAAAGGTTTAGAGATTATTATGTAAATGTTTCTGACATGATTTAATGTTAAAATATGATCTATCATGCTCTTCAAATATCATGAGTTTGGGCTAAAACTAAATATCTTAGTCCACTAAATATCTTCAAATGTCATGCTCTTCAAATATCTTGAGTTTGGGCTCCAAACTAAATATCTTAGTCACTGTCATTTAAAAAGAAATATTAAGCGAAAATATCATAAAAGGTAACGCCATGTCTCCAAAAAGCCACTTCTATTTGGAATATAATAAATGGACCATTGTAACTAACTGACTATGAATCATATATCGCGCGTTTCTGAATAAAGTCCATCACTTTTCTATAGTAAGCCATTAATGTATTACTTGGGTTACTAATTTCACATAAGGTAGAAATAAGTTACAACACCTCAACTATTATCCCTCACCAACTATTTTGTTGTTTCATATTAATTTAAGGTTTAAAACATAATTTCATTTGGGAAAAAAAAAAACACTAATGATGCATTTCTATCACCGTAAGTACAAGAATATCCTGATTTTAATTATGTACTCATTTCATATATCCTTTTTGTATAATCTGTTGATGAACATGTTTCAGAAAAACTATGATATTCTTCTTGGGATCTTTAACCCTGATGGTTAGTTAGATATAACTTATCCTTTTAAACCTCCATTTTTCAGGTGAAATATATAAAAGTGCTAAATGTAAAAAGTAGCAATGTATTTTCACTTATTTGTTTGTTACAGCGTTATATTTGGAAAATCCACCTAATTATAGCATTGTCATACAAATATAAAATTTTCACTGCTATAAATCTCGAACACTAACACCATTTTTGGTGTAAAAATGGTGTAAAGCTACTCCAATGCAATACCATTTTCTAAACCAAATTTGGTGTTAAAAGTTTTATGTCTCGTTTGTGGTCTTCAAGTTTGAGTTTATATATTTTGCTTTAATATAAGTTATATTTTAAATGTAATAATTGTTTCATAAAATGTTTGATTGTGTTATAAATGTAAATTTTTTATTTAATAAAATGTTCGTTTAATAATATAATTAAATCAAATTAATTTTAGTTGTTTGTTTGGTTATATTTGTTTAATAATATAATTTCTAAAGTTATTGTAACAGAAAAAAAATGAAAGACAAATTTGTAAAAAGAATAATATAGAAAGGGATTATTTTTTTTTGAAAATTTAAATGAGTTAAAAAGAGAATATAATATTATTTGGTGCAAAAAAATGGTGCTATGGTTTGAGATAAGTGGGTCAATTTTTCAAAGAATGATGTCTTAATAATAAAAAAGTAAAAGTAGATTGCTATAGTTGGGAAAAAAAAAGAAAATTAAAGCATAAAGTCTTGATAGAAAAATATAGAAACTATAGTATTGTAATAGAAAGAAATGAGAGTACGATGCTATAATATTGTATTGTAATAGAAAGAAATGAGAGTACGATGCTATAATATTTAAATGAATGAAAGAATGTTGTTATTTCTAGTATTTAGTCGTAGTTAAGAAGAATTAATTACCATTTTTTTTGAAACGGCAAATAAATACCATTGTTAAAGCCTTGATTTCAACTTAAAAGATATGTGGATGACACCCTGAGAATGGGGAGGGATGACAAAGGCAACATCTTCATATTGGAGAGATCAAAGGAAACTAATCTTAACTCTTGGTTTCATATTCCTGTGAAGAAAATTTACATTTTTGGTAAATATCTTATTTTTTTTATTTGAAGAAATAGAGGTTTAGAGATTATTATGTAAATGTTTATGACATGATTTAATGTTAATATCATCTATCATGCTCTTCAACTGTCATGACTTGGCTCTAAACTCAATATTTTAGTCCATTGTCATTTAAAAAGAAATAATAAGCAAAAATATCAGAAAAGGTAAAATCATGCTAAAATACCATAAAAGGTAAAGTCATGGCTGCCAAAAAGCCACTTATATTTGGCATATAATAAAATATCATGGTGACTATGAATATATATCACGCATTTGTGATTCTAATAAAATACCTTCCTACAATAGCATAGCCACACCCCGCCTGACACCCCGCGTAAGCT